CGTCGCAGGGTTGGAGTGGCAGGAGGCTGAGGTGGTTGGGCCATCGCTTTCTGTCCAAGATTTTGTTTTGTTATTATTATTTTTATTGCAAAGTGGTCTTCATCGATCATAATCTGTTCAGGTTGGAGTTACACAGTACAAATCGACAAAACACACACGCACACATACATAAACACACACACACACACACACACACACACACACACACACACACACACACACACTCACGAATGTATTTCAGGCTTTATAAATGACGCACGCGTGAGGCTGTATGTAAAGGAAACTATTGTATATATATTTTTTAATCTTTCAAGAACTAGGATGAAGAATGCTATGTGACTTTTTCAAATATATGTTACCTGTATGTTAACTGATTTGCATTAGAGTTACACTGGAAGGGACTATAAAAATACAAATCTTAACCACCCACTAATGAAAAAGAACGCGGACAGTGCAAGCTCGGTTTTTTTCTTGTTATTTTTAAAAAAATTTGAGCCAGGCTGACGGAAATGTTTATTGTATTTTAACTCCTAGAATTGAAAACTACCAGAAACATAAATACACATACAGAGCACAATGAACAACATCATCGGCACAATCAAATTATTTGACCCTGTGGATGAAAAATGTGCAGTGCAATATAGCGCTGTGCTTGGAAAAAAAGATCGAGGTACACCTAAGCGTTCCTTATGAGATGTGAATGCGAAAGCACGCAAACCGCCTGTCCGCTCCCCTTTTCGCCTGCGGCGTACTTTTCGTCGCCGGTCGGCGCGTGTGCTCCACTGGTGACCTCGGACGCTCCGCGCTGATAGACACGCAGCGCCATAAGGTGAGCGGTCGTGGAAACTGACGCGCGCCAGCCAATGGAACCGAAGGAAACTATCTGCCGATTTCGCGCTTCAGAATGATGACGTCAGCTCGCTCCATGAGACAGTTAATGCTCTAGCATTGAAAACATGTTTTCCGATTCCAGTGTCTATTGACAGTAGTAAGAGTAAGTAGTAATAGTATATTTATTTTGATTCAGTCAAGACGCGGCTCCGCAGAAAGGCAAGTAGCCCACACCATAATGGCCTACGATGCCGCCTCTACTGATCATGTGATGAGATAGCGTACCAGAGATATGCTGATGATGTTTAAATGGAGCTTATGAGCGAGGATGAGGGATGACGCTGCGGGTGATGACGGCCCTGTGTTTAGTGGGCTCCTTGCCGGGTCGGTCTGTCCAGCTGGTCTTACAACAAGGCAGGGTAATGAAGATGTGAAGTAAGACAGAGAGGAAGGGGAGGAGACAAAGATTCGTGTAGGAGCAGAACAAAAAAGAAAAAATTAAAGAAAGAAAGAAAGAAAGCAAACGAATCCTGGAGGAACCACTTTGCTCCCGGTAATTACCAGCTTTAACAGGCAGGATATATCAGAGAAAGGAGGACAGAAATAACGATCAACGGAGGACATCTTGGTATGGGTCTGCCACACGTTGGGGTTTTTTGCCGTTTCGGTACAATACTAGGGAGTTTTAGTAGACCGCGTTTCCCCTTCCGCTAAGCCCTCCGCAACGAAGAAACCGCCACTGCGCCGGCGTGCCGGTGGCTTTGGCTGTAGAGTTCCGGGTAGCGGAGGGGCTTAGCGGAGGCGAAAACACTAGGGTGTTTTCGCAGACCGCGTTTCACCCTCCGCTAAGCCCTCCGCAACGAAGAAGTCGCTACTGCGCCTGTGCGCCGATGGCCTTGGCTGTAGAGTTCCGGGTATCGCAGCGTGCGCCGGAGAGCGTTTCGGGACGGCAAAAACCATCTACGAAAACTCCCTATTGTCTACTAAAACTCCCTATTGAAGCAAGCACTCTAGAGAGCATGTTGATACCCGGGCAAAACAATTTAGAGAGATCAAAAAGACTCAGTCGGCTAAACACCAGTATGTGGAACGGGTTAGATAAAGCTAAGTTGGACACATACAAAAAATAAGGGAGGGGGAGGAAGAAAACTCAGGTTCTTCATAATTTTAGAAACAATTATTTGGAGCGCGCGTTTACTTTTGGAGCTTTGTTTTATGCTCGTGTTTCCCTCCCCCTGTACTATTCGCAACGAGATATTTGGTGGCGCCACCTCGTGGGCGTCCTCCTGTGACGCAGCTGGTGGGATGCGAGCAGACGACGCGCTATGTCAAAGCACAGAGTTGCTGTGTCAGCTCGCTTCTATGCCAATTAAAAACGGTTAATTTATTAAAAAAACACGTATAACTTTTTTTTTTTTTTTTTTTTTTGGGGGGGGGGGGGGGGGGTGATCTTTGCGTTCAATAACAACGCCTCGAAGTTGCTTTTTGTATCATAAAAATAACTTTATGTTCAAAAACAAGCCTGGAGCGCGGCGTGCGTAGGGCTATCCACAGCCTTTCTGATTCTTTTGTTTTCGGATCAGTGTAGGAAGCTGTAGGAAAATCTTTTTGCATTCACCTGAGTAAATGACGTGCTGTTTTCTTATCTTGATAGTGCAATTAATGCAAATGTGCAATGGTCGTCTGGCTTAGTTGTCCACGCGCGCAGAGTTGTGTTTCAAAGCACCGTACACTTGTTTTATCTACATTGAGCATGCCGATATCGACACTTCCATCCAAGCGTGACGCGACAGTCGCTGCCCAGCGAATGCTCGTCAGCAACTGACACTTAGCTCCTCCCGAAAGGAATACGTGGCAAAAAAATTTGTCAAATCGCGACTTCTGCTGAAGAGAAAAGCAGAATTTTTTTATAAGTTCTTAAATTGTCGGCCATGGCCCGGTAAAGTCAGGCGATAGATTAATTTGTTCTATTCAAATTTTACTGATAATTCTTTACACATTTAAAATCGCTCGCTGAGAACCGCATCACGCATTATGCGCATTTGGGTCCGCAAACAGTACGCACACAAAGAGTAGTAATTCGTAGCAGGTGTATTCCTCATTTTTGGGGACGCTGAAGTATCAACTTACTAGATTTAAGACTGCGATTGCTATGGAATCTCGCACATTTACCATTGACCGGGTGAATGAGCAGGGGTTTAGTTCAAACGACTCCAGAAGCCAGCCCCCACTTCTTCCATTTAGTTTTTTTGTAGAAATGTTCGTTTACTGGCTTACCAATTTCAAAAAAGGCATCAACTCGAAACTAATAAGAGACAGCACTCACGGTACACAATGGAAGTAACAGGATTCACGAAGTCGCTCCCATTGAAGTATTTACTATACACACGCGAGAGGTTCATCCTATCTTCAGTTTGATGAGATATTCCTTTCTTCAATTTATTGTGCCCAAACCACAAGGAATAAAATGACTTCGATTAGCGTGGTAGATGCTGTATTGGGATAAGGCGCTGGATATACTATTTTCACGCTCCAGCTTACAGTACTGGGATAGAGAACAGCACACTACCACCTGAACGCTTCGACACCTCAGTGACATAAGTGTTTGTTAGCTCGAGAACGAGTGCCACGTGCCGTTTAAAACTTTGGTAAAATGTCCTACCACAAATATCACTTCATCAAATAAACACAACGCGTGGAATGGGCTTTGCCGCGCGTTACCCCAACAGCGCATGAAGCAAGCTGACGAGCCGAGCGATCCAAGATCTGCGCGGTCTGTCGCAGTCTGTCCTACCCTCGACGCCACAAACGATGCTGATGATAGCTAAGGAAGCGCCCCTGTAGTTCCGCACACGCCGCCAGTAGCTTCAATTGTTGTACTTGCTTAGTTCAATCGAAGTACAAATGTCAAGCATGAAGCTGCGAGTAAGGCAACCAATCTCGAGCAATACAGTAGTACGTGGAATTATTTCTATATATATTTATATTTCTATATATATTTATATATTTATATTTATATTTATATTATATAAAAATATTTCTTGCAGGGTATATTTGTACGCAACTATAACGAGATTGATATTGTCGAAGTTGCAATGTAGCGCTGTAAAGAGTCTTTTAATATTATTTATTGATATTGTCAACCTTTTTTTCGGCTTTCACGGGAGTGGATAAGAAAAGGAAAATCATATGCGGACGGTTTTGAAAAGTGACAGAAAAGCATGCCAACGTAAAGCACGATATGTCAGGTATGTTCAAATCAGAAATTAGGTAGGTACGACATAATTAAGAAAGAACACATAAAACGGTGGCAGGCGGATTTATAAACAGGTTCTGATAAAAAGAACGACTTAAAAAACGACAGTACGAAATATCTAACAGACATTCAGAATTAGGGCGTGTCATTATGACCTATACTATTTCTGCTTTTTTTACAATCATTCACACAGGTAAAGATGGCAGTATTACACGACTGTACATTACATTTTTGAAGACAAGCTCCTGTTGCATTTTGAGCTACCCAAACTAAGCATTTTGAGAATTCCTAGGCTTTATTCTTTCTGCATAGTAGTGATTATGTTTAAATTTAAAATAGCTGTCGAAGACAAGAACAAATTAAGATTATGCCAGGAGCAGCGTTAAGATTTTCCGCGCTGTCCAGTGGGGTGGTGTCACAGGTTGCATAACGTACAGTTCAAAAAGTTATTTAAAAAAATAAATAAGATAGTATTTTGCACGTTTGACTTTTTCTTTTACTGGCTCTTGCTTTATTAACATTCTGTTATCATAAATAATCTTTTATTACCCTTCGGGAACAAGCTGCACTGTCCCCCGATTACCAGATCTGACGTCACGTTTTCAGTGTTGCAGTAGAACCTCTCAGCATCTCAGATTAAATCTAAAACTTCAATTACTTTGAAAAAAACAAAAAAAAACAAAAAGAAAACAACAACAAGAACAAAAAAACACAACTTTACTCGGAATTGTATTTCGAGTGTTAAGCTTTGTCTATAATGTATTGAATCAGTCCTGAGGCAAATAACGGAATATCAACAATCCTCCGAAGCTCCGCTTTAATCGTTCTAGGATAGAAACTGAAATTAGAGCAGGGACTAACCTGCAAACCCCATGTTTCTAATTCGAGCGTCTTTTTTCTCTTATATAAACAGTACTGAACGTAGCCGCCGGCAAGGCACCCCTCCAGTCGTCCACAATGGGCGGCGGAGTGCCACAGAAAGCCGTGGACGGTAGCACGAGCGCCTTCTTCCAAGCCGACACCTGTTCCCTGACCGAAGCCGAGCGGTCGCCCTGGTGGTACGTGAACCTCCTGGAGCCGTACTCCGTCCAGCTGGTCCGCCTGGACTGGGGGACCACGTCTCCAGAAGCCACCGTCGTGGTCCGCGTGGGCAACAACCGCCCGGACATGGGCGCGAATCCCGTATGCAACCGCTTCACGGGTCCGCTGGAAGAAGGACGACCCCTTTTCCTCCCGTGCGCGACCCCGATGCCCGGAGCCTTCGTGAGCGTGCATCTTCAAGGACAGGGACCACTGTCCATCTGCGAGGTATTTGTGTACACCGACCAGGCGCTGCCCGTGGAACGGTGCCCGTCATTCAGGGACCAGCCACTGGGGTCCACCACCACGTACAACGGGAAGTGTTACATCTTCTACGACAACCAGCCGGCCCCGTTCGAAGCATCCATGAGGTTCTGCGAGGCCCGCGGAGGGACGCTGGTTGACGAGACAAGTCCGGCCTTGCAGGGGTTCCTCAGCTGGGAGCTGTACAAGAGACACCGGCACGACTCTGACTCTGGGCAGTACTGGATGGGGGCTACGAGGGACCCGCGCGACCCTGCCAGCTGGAAGTGGCTGAATGGGAGGGAGGTGACCATTTCCTTCTGGAACGCGCCCGGTGGTTCTAGAGAGAACAACTGCTCGAGGTTCGACGGGACCAGGGGGTGGCTTTGGTCGGATACCAACTGCGAGCACGCCCTGAACTTCGTCTGTCAGCATCGTGAGTGCATGCGGATTCTCACTCTAATAAGCAAGCACTGTATGCAAAACACTTTTTCTGCAGAGCACGTTGACACACAGTGTTTTGGATCTATATTCTTGGTGGTTGTGTGCATGCACACTGAAACACAATAATATAATTGTACCAATCAATTGCCTTTCTTTAATCAGTTTAGCCAATGAGCAGCAGGCCTACTCATTAGCCATTGAGACGGTATGGTCACTGGGGCTTGATACCGGTGACTCTTTTCCTCATGGACTGAATCGATCGCAGAAATACCAACAACTTGCGTCCCAAGAGCATTGAGGGCAGATACGGGGGCCGATGAGGGTATGTAAAATAATCTAAACCAGTGATAAGACCTTGAAAGAGATATCGATGAGAAGAAAACCTTACTCTGCATTGCGTCTTCGAGCACGCGAGAAGCCTCATTAGGTTTTATAGATTCAAACTTATTTTTTATGGTCAGGACGTTTTGCATACGTGTTTGAATCCATAACCTTTCCAACCGGTCAGGATAAGGTCTGATGTAGTGTATTAATGCTACGCGCCAGTTTTTCGGTGTTTATTGATAAGAAAAACTGTCGATTGCATAAGGCATTTATTCATTCGACGAAATCGGTGTATCTTATGGACATTACTATGCATATGATAAAAACTGCTTATAGTTAAAAAAGTCGCGTACATACAAGAAACAAACTCACAAGAACATCAACAAAAAACCTGAATTTAATTTACAATTTCTGTGTTGCCTTATGACTCTTCATACTTGCTGTAAGCCACAGTGCTTGAAAACGCCGGATAATGACTACGAACACGGGCCAAAGTTCGAGTACTCTTTCACGCAGTGATCCGACGTTTCTCATACTTTTATCTTGCTACACAACCCTTCTGAAGCAAAATGTTTCCGCCGCGAGGAATGCCACTTACTTTTGCTCCTCTCTCCAGACTCAGCCAATAACGACCACCAGTGTAGTTTTGAACGCTGTCGTCTACTTCGGATCGCAATGAAACAAGGACATTGCAACTGTCCCTAGTAACCGATTGACTAAAATAAATAGGAACTCATGCAGTTGTTTGAGCTAACCAAGTCTAAAAAAAAGGCAAATGTTGTTTCACTTTGATTGCATGTGCTTAACCAGCATTAATTTCGCACGATCAAACTTCCTTTATCTTCATTAGGAAGAAGATGTAATGACTCCACATTGCCACCACATAATCAACATCCGACGTCACGTATTCAGTGTTACCAGACAACCACTCATTCTCTCGGACCGAAATTAATACTTCAATAAAATAATGGATCATGGCTTGCAATTTAGGTTAGTAGCTGAGATGAGCTGTTAATGCGTTGAACCAATTTTGTGGGAAATCAGTGACTATGAAAATTTTACTTGAACTGCTCTTGTACTGAACCCCAAAGTCGGAGATTCTACTTTTCCGGGACTTGCAGGATGATTGAGCCTGTATGAAACGCGCTGGACGATCGTCTAAGACGGGGGTCTCAAATGCATTCGGATCTGGGGTCCAGATATCACATCCCCTAAAGAAGTAAAGGGTCAACGCCGAATCAGAGGAGTGGTTTTCACGTTTCATGGTGCTAGGCGCAAAAAAAAAAAAAGAATAAAAGGCAGACATAAAAAAGAAGACACACAGGCGTTGTTTTTTGCTCCATGCAACACGTTCGCAAGCATAGCTCAATTACAAGTTATGTTACTTGTCACTTTTCATAGCAGCATTATATGACAATATTTATGTTTCAAATGTATTTTTGACTTCTAGAAATTCGAGCTCATTACTTAATCATTGGAGGCTGCTCCTCCTGAGCAAGAATTCGTGCAGCCGAGGTGCGTTTTAAAGACCGCGCATTGGCAGCATAGTAGTGGGATTGCCATACAGGTAAGTAACATCTGAAAAAGCTAATAAGCACAACTTTAGTACCAACCAAAACTAAGTCCAAAGAGAACGGAAGAACGAAAAATATGTGAGCACGCTATTAGACCAGAGCTACGTTTCGAGCGTTAATGATCCGAAGACATGAGATTATTATTTATGAAGCATATACAGAAAACAAATCTTCAAAAAGCGTCTGCGGTTCGTCGCAACGCAAGCGGCATTAAGTTAATCAAAAGGCAGCAGAGGGCATGCATAGGGAACGCGCGCGCTGACAAGGCAGCCAGCACTCGCCGTCATTAATTGAGGTCCGGGGGGGGGGGGGGGGGGGGGAGGACGAGGGGGGGGGGAGGAGAAGAGGGGGGGGCGGAAGACGACAAGAGCGCGTTTACATATTTTAGGAGGCAAACAAATGCAAGAGATGCGCAGGGAACAGACGAAGCGCCATATAGCGCTCAAGACATGAGAACGATGATTCGCAGTCGATTGGTGCTCGCATGCCGCATCTCAGCAAATCGCGCGTGCAGCGTGTTTGAGACCCCTACTCTAAGAATTGAGGGTTTCATCGAAATTAGGGTCCTCGCTTCTAACAACAAAGTTGCAGAATTCGGTACTTTTCGGTTTTAACCGAATGTGCGTTTCTGACACCCGACCAGGTGAACGTTGAGCGGTGCTTTTCGGTTCAAAAACCAAAGAGCCTATGGCCTGCGAATCAGCCGGTGTTTTTGACTTGTGTTTTCTCAGGACCAACGACGTGCGGGAAACCGGAGAGACCCGCCAACTCGACCATCGTCGCTCGAAACTTCGAAGTGGGTTCGGTGATCGAGTACCGCTGTGCACCGGGACACCTCCTGGTCGGCCCCAACATCAGGACGTGCCTCGCCAACGGATTCTACAGCGAGTTCGCGCCCAAATGCAGATGTGAGTGATGCAGAGCACAAGGTCGTCTGCTTCTTTTGCAGAAGTTAATATGGTGATGTGGGAACGCGGAGCTATGATTGGCTCTGGTTGAAGGACAGGGGGTAAACATCAGAGCAAGCTGCGTTGAGGTCTGCTCACTATCCTTCAGTCAGATTCAATCGGAGAACGGCATTTTGACGTCACCACAAACCCTGCAAAAAAGGCAGATGAACTTGCGCTCCAGCTTTCCGAGCTCAAAATCGCAAAAAAATTCGGGAGGCGCGCATTATTATTATTTTTTTTTTTTTAGAGAGGGGGGCGGGGGAGGGTTAAGACCTTGCAAGTGCAAGTGAAATTGAATGGCCTGTTTCACACTCGCGAACACAAAACGTTTAGTCCTTCTTTGTGTATTGGTTGTGCATTTAATGACATACCTACTGACGGCCTAAACATTTATTCACACAATGCATCTTTTGAACGCGCAACGGTTTAGCGAAACCGAGATTTCGCGAAATCGGCCCGTTCACGAGTAGAGATTCACGCGCGAAACCTGGGACGTATTGAGGCTCTAGAATTTTGCCAAACCTTATCATTTGCACCGGGAATATCACGCGTTTCGCATCAAAATGCTATGAAGTACTCTCACCTTTATTCATTTTACTCGATAAATTTTGTTGGATTCGGTTCACTCGGTTTACAGTACCTGCCAAACCGGGGGAAGACCGCGGACGTCAACGTTAAAAAGGATGATCTCGAAGTATCTGGGACTTTTGGTTGCACCGCTAAGGGGTCAGTTATATCCAGTCATCATGTTTATGTGCAGTGCTTGCACTCGTTGACACTGGAGGAATCTACACCGTGCCACCAACTACGCCAAATTGTACTGCCCGTACGCTCCACTTTTTCGTCTAACTCTCGTCGCCATGGTTTTCTTTTTTTGGCTTTGGCTATTTCGGCTCGGATACACAATCGGCCGAAAATCAGACTCCTCTGAGAGCTCGCACCGCTTCAAAGGCCAGACGTCAAAGGGACGTCGAGCGGCCATTGGCTGCGTCCGCGGTTCTCCTTCGGTACGATTTACTGGCCTTTGGTGAGGTTTCAGCCAAAATCTCGCTCCACAAGCGAGGAGTGCGAGCAGCCTTCGTCAAGGGCGTGCGTCTTCTTCGGTCGCGTTCACACATGGCGTCTTTTTCCTCCCGCCTAGTTTTGCGACAATGCATTCGCCAGCATGAAGCACCGTGTGAATATACCTAAAGAAATACCGCTCGTGGCAAGTCCCCGGCAATCTGTTAGGGAGTTCTATAATAGCGTACGCAATTGTAGCGCACGCTAGCGCTCAATTTAGTGCTTGCGTTAGCGCACGCTGCGCATGAGTGTTTTTAGCGTTTCTCCGCCGCGACGGAAAAGCCCAAGCGTCTCCCGCTTGCAACACCACAAACAAACAGTAACACTTTTTTTTTAAGACACGAAATGCTGAAACTTCAGAAAAAAACAGGTTTATTGCTTCACAGTACGATTTTAGATTCGTTTATATATGAGAAGGCGACGGGAGCGGTCGACCGGTCGTCATCGCTTGCGCCGCCTCGACAAGAAAGGTATCGTGTACTGACCTTCGCACACCGCACTACCTTCGCCGAGAAACGTTCGCGCGTCGCAGGCAGTGAGTGGCCGGCGAGCGTGGCCCAGCTTGCTGTGTCTTCCAAAACGCTTCTGACGTGCACCTCCGTTAGGAGTGCAATGTCGTCCTGCGTTGAAGATCGCAGTCGAGAGGATGCCGCCGACGTCGCGCTCACAACTCCTGCCGCAGCCGCCATTTTTTAACTGTGCCCGTCTTGACTTTCGCCGAATTCTCACCATGAATCCGCTTTGGAGGAGTGCAAATACTTTTTGCGTACGCACGCAATTAAAAAAAAAAAAAAAAAAAAAAGAAAAAAAAAAAAAAACATAGGGTAGAATTGCGCACGCAAAGCGCTAAACGTGGTTTCCGTTCGGCGCATGCGCAGTGGTGACGACGCTATTCTTTGCGTACGCAAAGCTTTAGCGTGCACTATTCTAAAACTCCCTGTTGTCGCTCCGCAGTTAATGAAAATGAGGTATCAGCCGAAAATAACGAGGAAGAACGATTGATGAGCCCTACCCAGCATCTTCAGTTATCAGTGACCTTAAGTACCAATTGCACATATAACTTTGGTGAAATAATCGTGTGCGTATGCTTTGACTGAATATCCCCAGCTTCATCAGGGCTCCGAAGAAACCGCGAAAATACGTATCGTAGAAAAAGCTCAGCTCCATTTTCAGGTATAAAAGTGGGTCCCCATTGTCTATTTTAATATCCATATTCATAAAAAATCTGAAAAAAAATAAAATAAAAAAATATCTGACGTTATTTCTTAGTGCTGTAGGTTATCGTCTTCTTAGCCGCTCTAAAAACTTCAAATTACCACTCTCCCAATTTCATTATTTACACATTCAACGAGACACAAGTGTGTCTTTTAACCGAACTTGAGGATTCAGCCCTAAAGAATGGCGTAATAATGGATGTTGTCTCTGTAATAGTAAGTCTTGTTTTGCGAACCCCTTGCAAAACCTACGAGTGTATACACCATTTTCCTGTTTACTAACACAAGACGTCCCTTCGCTCCCAAGAGACTTCCGTTCATTCAATGTCGGTTGGCTTTCCTAGCCTGTTCATATTAATGTTTCTGGAGCGGTGTAGTTCTACATAAATCCCCAAAGTTTGAGATTTGGCGAGGTCCGTATGTTGTACTATTTAAGCCATAAGAGGGGATGTGTCGCCTTACAGGAGTAATAAAAAAACATTTAAACAAATCTCTCGCTAACGGGTTCTTAAGCGAACAAACTGGAGAACCGGTCATCAAATATTTTATGAGCATTCGAAGAAGCAGTCTCTGTTGGGCATTGTTTGAATGGTAGTTTGCGGGAACGTAAAGAGCCAATAGCGCCTTCTTCTGGCTCTCCAAGAAAATAATTTATACATTTGTTTTGCCATGTACGTTAAATAATATACAACTTATTCGTCATTTAATGCAAACCCTGATCTATAACATTCCCCTGTTGTACTCTAGAATATATCTGCAAGAACAAAGCGCAGACCGGAATACTCATGGAATCGCCAGAAAACTGTGTTGAATTTTAGGTATGTGCACATTGGTGTTTGACGCACCTCGTGGGCCACAAGCGAACAACAAACCAACACGAACTGCCGACGTCACAGAAGCCTCATGCTGCCGACACAAAACTTCGACACTGAACGCTTTTCACAAACACCTTTCTTTGGGACCCAATGAAGATGTTTGATGCTGAAGAGGTCGAACATTGTATAGTTGAAAAAGTTTGGAATATATGTTGTTTTCACACCTAGTGGTATGGTGCCAAGGCAGCTTAATTCCTGCGAAATAACCAAAGAACTTTTGCTGTCAGTAAGACATGATCAGTCTTAAAGCCTCCCAAGCAAAACAGTATTTATTTTTTTCTTTTGAGGAAACATGTTTATAGACCCCTCTCAAAAAAGTTTGACAACAGTGACAAAATCTAGCTGGGTATACTGCAGCGGACGTCCTTGAAAGATGCTCCGTTTGTTTACGACGCACCAGTACGATTTGGGTGGTGCGGTGACGAGGTCGTGGGTGCAATACGACTGCCATCTTTTTATCGCACGCTTCAAAATTTCTATACTTCGGATCGGAGTCAAAAACAGAGACTGAGTGGCATCATTCATTTATTAAAAGTAAGAGTGGATTAGTTCCTTGCACGTTCGTTATGTGTTTATGTGGTGCGCACGCAGATACCTAATTGTGAAATATAAGTGAGTGTTCCTGGGCTACGCGAATTGGGATGATAACGTTAGCTTTCTTCTGCTATTCTATAGACTATTCACGATCAGTCGCGAGCTGATGTTACACGCAGTGCAGAGTTGTCGGTGATCCGGTGACTACGGGCTCATCAATTGCTAGTTGCTGCGTTCGAAAGTCCTGGGACTGCCAAACTCGCTAGCAGGTGACAGACAGCACGTGAGACAGGTAGGCTCCATGTCTAGATGCAGTTTTCCGAAAGCAGTGTCTCTTTCCATTTGTTTGAATGGCGCTTGCACATCACGTGTGTAGACTGGTTATGCACAAGCCAAATTTAAGTATATCGCAATTTTCACTGGGCTGTTTTTAGGTTTTGCTACTCACATTAACGTTTCCGCATTCACAAATAGGGTATCTAATCCCATATCTATTGCACGAAATTAATTTTTTTTTGGTAATTTTCCCACGCCCCGTGGAATGTAGTTCTTGAAACGACCATTCATTGGAGAACAATTCGTACCCGTATTAACTACCAAATTATTGTGATAACGTCACTTTGGGTTGTACTTATCAGTCTAAAGGCTGCAATTATTCAGCTGTTTAAATACGGCAACCGAGCACGCGAGGCCGCAGTTTTACCTATCTCCCGCGTTTACAAACGCAACTTCCCATATGAATAAAGGCTAGCCCACATGGTGCGCTTTTCTCCGCGTCTGCGTCGCGTCTGCGCCTGCGCTTTGACGTCACTTCCGGCGCCGGGACGAAACGCAGCGTTTTTTGGCGCATCCCGGCGTATCTGGAGGAGCCAGATATTTTGCGTCCACGCGTCGCGTCTCGCGCTGCGTCCAGAAGGTAACAACCAATGAACCGCCGTGTTCACTAGTTGCAAGGAGCGTTTGAATTTTCTCCACTGTAGGACTGTAGTTTTCGCCACAGACCTCGCGACAAAGGCGATAATAATAATAATAATAATACTTTTTATTCGCACATATTGCGATACCCACTCGGCAGCGTGCGAGGCTAGGCAAAAAGGTCGAGACCCTTACGCAGGTGGGCCTGCTAGCCCGCCGCCAAGTAGGGAAAGGGATACGGGAAAGGAAAATAAATAAAAACACTCAAAACAGAAAGATACACACAAAAACGGGTAGCAGCCCAGTGCCATTCCAAGTCAGAGCGCACGCGCGCACGCACACACACACACCCGCGCGCGCGGAGTTTACAAAATTTGCACGCTCGCGGCCTTAAATAAAAACGGCTTTTAGGCCCCGCCAACGCTAGCAGCAGGGCGAACATGGGTATTAGTAAGGCACGTTGTTGGGCTAGTTGGTTCATCTTAGTAAAACATATAAAATAGCGCAACAGAAACAAGGACAAGAAGTAAACAGGACAGGTAGTTACGTCCTTCCCCCCGCGGATATCAGTTTACCATACCTTTTACACAAGTCCAGGGAATCCTCTCTGCTCCGCGGGAGAGGCTGACGCTGCTTCAGCGGAACAGAGAGGACCTAGCGAAGTACAAAAGCGTCCTGCACTCTGGCAGGCCAAATGTAAAGAATACAAGGACACCGAGAGACAAAGGTACAAAATTAATACTACCGGCAGCAACCGCAACAACGTAACCACTGTAGCGGCCAGCGGCCAGCTGTAAATGTTTTGGCGCGGGCGATGGTGATGCCAATGGCGTATCGAAACGTGGATGAGGCGTACGCACTAAAAAGGATGAAAATGAGTGAAATTGAGCTTCATTGCGATTGCTGTAATAAAAATGAGTGCTTACTATTACTAAAATTAAATATTACGGCATGTAGCCATCATTTACCGCGCGATTTCTATTTAATGTTTGCTTTTGTTTCTTAAGCGCGTCTGGCTACGTTGGGCAGACGCTTCGGAAACGCAGACGCGAAGCGCTGCACGGTAGCGCTAGCGCTGCGTGTGGTTTGGCTGGGCGCACGCGTCCTGCTTAGCGCGCGCACCAAGCCGAGACGCGCGTCTAGACGCACTGAAAAACGCGCCATGTGGGCTAGCCTTAAAGCCGTACTCAAAGCCGATTGCCGCCCGCTTTTCATGACTAATAATTGTGACTCTATCTGGAGTGTATCAGGGTCATTTGGAAATTTCGGTGTCAAACGTCATCGCCACTTCGATCGGGCAGTCGCCATACCGATCATGGTTGACTTTTAGCCTGAAGATCAAGACAAATACAGTTTCTTCACTAGTTCGGGCAACCAAACCACTCTCCCCCTGACTTCGCACAACGAAACGCGGGCGGATTGTGATCAGTGTTGCAACGTTAAACGTGCGCGAACTTTCATGAGAGACATAGTGGTCTCACAAAATGGCGTCGAGGGCTAGTGGCCACTCCGTGCGACAGGTGGCGCTCTTTTATTTAGGCGTCTATAGCCGGGGACAGGTTAGGAGTTAAGTGGAAGCTCCTTCCGCCTCTTTACACTTTAACAGAGCGGAAGATGCAAAAGAGGCGACCTCCTCTCCAGCGTCCGGTCAGCTAAAGTGGAGGTCACCGACTGTATAATTTAAAATGTGACCAGATCTGACTGAATTTGTCTTATGTCTGTGCAAATTTCCGCTCGAGTCAACCGTTCAATGTGCGTGTGTTCATCCTTTGTATTTCTCCCTTTTCACTCTCTATGCCCTCTCTCGAACCTCCTTACCATTTCTAACCAAGTTTACAGATCAGTTTCTCCAGTAAGTTGACCTCTTCGTGCTCTCGCATATGAATTATATTTTCAATATGTCCTCTAGTTGTATATTGGTGATGCTCACCGTTAAGAATCGTAGTATGGTCACTTAACGAAAGGCTAACTAGCCACAGTTTTATGCATCCAATTAACGCTTCACAGTCATCAGGGTCGAACGGTAGTCAATAAAATCTCCGATAAAGGTAGCACGAAGGAAGAGAGAATACAGTAAATGGCATCTTGTTGTTCTTAAGCTTCAGTGATAACAACAGGGTTTGAGCGCCGTGTCTGTGAGCAGTTCATTTAAGTTTCTGCAGTCTAATAAGACGCTAAAAAGCCCCTCCCACACGTATACGGACCTCGTGAACCTTTCCACCTTGCCATCCAACAGATCTCGAGTGCGGACCCCCAGCACCCATTCCTAACGGCTCCCTGATGCTGACGAACGGCACCAGGCACTACCTGAGCAGCGTCGAGTACGGCTGCAGGGAGGGCTACGTGCTCGTTGGCCGCAGCGTTCTCGTGTGCGACGTCGACCAGCGCTGGAACGGGCCGCCGCCCCGATGCGAACGTGAGTGAACTTCTAGGGTTCCGTGCTAAAAATATGTTTTGACCGGTTCAAATCAAAGGCGTCTCGAAGAGACGCTTAAGAGGTTATTGAAGATAACGAGTTAGAAGTGAATTCGTGTTTTTATCCTTATTCGAATATCTCGAGAATTTGACCGCAACGTTTCAATACACGCCAGAGAAATCCGAAAAACCGACCGCTGTATGTGACGTCATGCCCAGAGGCTTCAGCTGCCTTGGGTGTGGCGCTTGTGAGGGAATGATTGCAGCGCTTTTGACTGCTCGGGAATCGGTTGCCGAAAGCGCGAAAACTTTGAGATGTCTGTATCACGCCATGATTTCCTCCTCGTGGTAATGAAACCTGAGACTCAGGAACACAAAAAGGGACCAGCGCTGGAACCATGAATCATCACCAGCTCGCTTTGTTTTTTTTACGTATTATTGCAGTGATTTTCTCCTCGCACCCAAAGTGACGGGAAGGAGGGCCTTCAGCGCTATCTGGAAAGCGCTGTTATCGCTACTTGGCGCATCAGTCTGAAATATAATATTAATACTCGTAACCCTCCCCCCCCCAAAAAAAAAATCGTTTTTTTTTTTTTAAATCCATGTTGGGATTTTGTTTTTCTTTAACGTTGCAACCGGACATGTAATGCATTTCTTTTTCATTTTAGCTCGTGCAAACGAAGATGAGAAATACGCTGAAGGGTTAAAATAGTACGTAGCGCTGCAGACTGGTAAACAGTGGCGAGGAGGTCGAACTACATGAGGCACTCTGTCCGGCTTGTATTCCACAGTGCTTGGTGTTTGAACTCGATCGCCCCGTCGCCAGTCGACTTGGACGTCTGATTGAATAAGAGCACTAGCCGGGTGCGGACGCAGCGATCGGTCATGTCAACAAAGCGCTGCGACAAAAAAACAACAAAAAACAAAAAAAAAAAACAAATCCAATATTTTGTGTTGTCGTTGTTCTCATGGCCTTAGTTCTTAACATAGCAAACCAGGGGCGCGACTGTTGGATCTGAATCACACTAAACTATTTTTCTTCAACTTCGTCCGAACAAGAACAAAATTTGTCTTTTGTGCTTAGACAGCCTGAGGTCGGTCGGCCTTTGAGGTACGGTAATACTGGTTTACGCTGTAGATGAAAAAATTAGTCAGTGCTGTAAGACTGCTAGCCTTTAACACGCAACACAATACTCATCAAAAAAAAAAAAAAAAAACTTGCAGGAGACGAAATTGAACCAAGAATCTCTAGGCTCTGTTGTGAGTTTTTCGTGCTGCAGAAGCATCCCGGGTACTCCAGCGCGAGGCAAAAGTGGCTCCGGCAGCGAGCTTTCCCTTACGCTACAGAGCATTGCGATTCTCTTAATTGTTCAGTGGAAATCAATTTTGTTTTTATAGAGTTTTACCGAGAACTTCCAATGGAGGGTTCAAGGGGCGAATGTTCCGCATGGTGTGCCTAGATTTAAGAGCAGTTTCATCTGCTCAATTGTGCTCACGTGTTTTGTGGGCCACGTTTGCAATGCATGGTGTGAAGACGAAGAGAAACGGTCGGTCGTCTGCATGCGTCTCCACAGTCTAAATAAGGTTATGCATAACATGCTGCGCAAAAGTGCATATATTGTGCCCCATGATTCACGTGTAAACGTAGTCACTTATGAGCGCATTACTCAACCCAAGAGTAACAAAAAGGTTCATTTTGTGCCGCTTGGTATCGTCCGTAACGTGTTTCATAAGTGACACATTTTATGGGTAATATGATGCATGCGCTGCCTTGAAGACCCACCCGCATGTAGTAAGTACAATGCTCGACCCAGAGAAGGAAAAGAAAAGAGGAAATTTAACGGCTTTGAGGCTTCTGGGTGCCGAGCTTGCGTAAAATTTTGAAAACATGCGTAACAACCGCAAGCGTAACAATAATTTTTACCCTTAAAATTGTCGTTTCTCGAAGTTTCGGGGTACCCGACTCGTGGGACCTCATGATAGTGCTTCCGACATGAATGTCCGAACAAAGTTGGAAATCAATGCACATGTTGGCGAGTAACAACCTGCAAATGAGTAACAATATGCTTTTCGAGATTTAGAGTGGAGGCTATGCTCAAGCCTCTCCTCCCACAATCCTCCTTGCCACGAGGCTACCGCTCTGCCCCGGGTGCGTCCACCATTAAATCGTACATATTTTTGTCGCGGCTTAAGTTACCCTAGCGTTTAAATCGAGGTTCTATGTAGTTACTTAAAGGACGAGAACGGCGGGGACGCTCCTCGATAACGCTCCGGCGTCTTGTGAGCCTTCAGCGTGCCCACCCGGCCAAAGCACGACGGAAGGCATCGAGCCTGTGCTGGAGGCTGCTGGGCCTCCAAAAGAGACGCCCCGGTGTTCTAATCCTGTCGATGACTCTTGGGGAAGATATCGAACATTCACGCCTCTAGTGGTACGTTCAAGCTGTAAGAAACAACAAAACAAATTTTCTCGTTCTTTTTTTTTTTTTTTTTATTAGAGATATCGAAGACGATTCGAAGGCCGCTCCTCGTGCGACCAAAGCACTGGTCAAAGCGAAGCGCTCGTGCCCAGACCGTGCTATGCGAGTTTCATTGTTAAGCAGTGTTTGTAAACACAGGGCTGTGTAAACAGCAAGCTCGATAAAACGCCTCTCTATATAGTTTGATCTTCTCCCTAATAGTTTCAAAATATTATGGGTGATTGTGCATGTGGCTGCATTCTAACATCGGCTTGTTTGTATCTTTTTCTCCACCTTTGACGCCAGCGGTGATGTGTCGAGCCCCGACTCCCATAGCGCACGGTCTGGTCCGCCTTTCCGCGGCTTCGACGGTCTTCGGAACGGTGGCGGAGTACGACTGCGAGCCCGGATTCCTTCTGTCCGGACCGGGTCACATCTCTTGCGGACCTTCTGGATTCTGGCAAGGAGACATTCCGGTTTGCTTGCGTGAGTTTTCAAAATAACCGGTTCCTTTTTATTTCTAGCAAAGAAACCGAGGAGGCAGCCGAAGCGCTGCAATTCTGCTGCACACATAAAACGCACAATCATTTTCCAACACCATTGAAAATTAGGCAAACGTTCAAAAATTACCTCGTCAAGTATCGCCACGGCTTAAAACAAGTCCCGCTAGAAAATTTCGACGTCACATGACACGGTGTCTTGTGACACTCTCTCACAAGTTTCCCACCAAACTTAGAGGGGCTCCGGTAAACTTAAAGGGTAAAGCTTTGCCTGGTCCCAGTGTCGCGTGACGTCACACTGCAATTCCTTGCTGAATTTAGTGGGAAGATTTCCTCCGAAAAGTATAGCGGGTCACAACGTGCACCGCACACTCGCAGAATAATATGCAAAGTTTCGCCCAAAACCGGCTGTCGCACTAATACAACGCCTTTCGGGATTAATTCCGATATTTATTTGTCTAACTTCGAGCGAGTATGCTTACGAATTCATCCACATTCTGCCGAGAGGAGCACGCTTTATGTGGGCCGACTATTTGGTTCTCCTATGAAAAACCTTCTGTGAGGTTTGATATCCTGGCTAAACTGCATACTTAAAGGCGTTTAGCGTTGATTTAGGGACAAACACCCATGTCTGCAACCTTTCAGCACCGCAGCCTGTTCAATTGTAAACCAGTGCGCTGTCTATTCAACATATCACTTTGTGAAAGTTTTCGGAAAGGGTGTGAAAAAGGGTGATATAGTCGAGTGAAGCGAGCACCCTTTTTAAAGGGCGTATTTCGAACTGACACCCGTTTCAGCCGAGGGTTTGCTAGCAACGTTCTCTAATACTTATGGCCTGTGCCAATACCTTTTACTTTGATATACATTGCTTGAACTTATATATGTTAAGGTTTACGCGAAACATTGACGACAACAAACCAACATGCGCATAACCTTTCTAATTGCGGAGTCGGTTATTTGCGGGTGAGTATCTTTGAATTGTCGAGTTTTTAAGACATTAGAACAATCACCAGGATCCTAATTCCTTTTTGTTTTGTGCGTGACACATGGCATTTGTGCTTGCCATTTCTGCGCATGTGAGAACTGTGTGCGTGGTGATCGTTGCTTGTAAACTTGCTGCTCGGGAAACTATCGATAGGAGGGTGCTAAGATAGCCCGCATCCTATGCGGAGAACACGTCGTCTGCTTCTTCCGATTGAGTTGCTGTGACATCAGAAAGACATCGAGCTTTGATTGACTTCGATCGAAAGTATAGTGGGTAGACCTTAACGCTAGATTCCTAGAGGTCTACCCAATATTTTCGTTTTTCGATCAGCCTGTAAGAGCTCGGCGTTTTGACATCGATCGCAGCCCTGTGCAAAAAGCAGACGAACTTGTGCTCCGCATTGTTAAGTTTTTCACCGGCATCATAAGGAGGTCACTCTAACAAGCTTATTTACGCCTTGAACGTTGTAAAAATGATTTAGTGTGTGGCAAACCTTTGCCTTTTGGCAATCTTGATTTAGTTTATATGCATCTGTTGGGATTACCCTCGGAGCGCTGAGTGTACTACATTGAGGAACTTCCTTCGTTAGAGCAATAAACGTATCCTGCAGAAATCAGGGAACCCTCAAATAGCAAATAAACGACTCTCTTAAACAGAAAAAAAGAAAGCAAAAAAAAAAAAATTAATCATGATGCAAAGCTTCTGCATATGGTGGGCGGTTCTATTTTAAGGAATAAAAAGTACTAAACTGTCTGTGCTTTATGGTTGGAAAACTAAAGGACCAAGAGAGGTAAAGAGGATAATATTTGAGAGGGGGAAACTGAAATACTTTTAGAGGAATCAAGGTGTGACGATCCGGGCATAAAACGCATAACCCTCACTGCTTGTTGTTTAGTCCCACGGTTCTTGTTGACACACTTTGTTCATGGTGCAAGTTCACAAGTTTGCCACACACGCACGCACACAAAATTGTTAACCGACTATCGCTCAGGATCCGTAGTCGCCGAATTTGGTTTGTCGCTGCAAACATTCATGTAAAAATTGAACTGTATTAAATTCAGAACTTTTTATTCACAGGAAACTAATGGGCCCATAGCAAGTTGGCTAGTTTGGGTCCGTTAAAATAAGGCGTCTGTTGAGTAGAGGGGCAACACAGGTTATTGAGGAACAAGACGAAAATACCTCTAGAAATATATCCAACAAAAATTATTTAGTAATAACAGCCATACTAATTTTGCTAAACCAATAGGACGGTGATGAGGCTGAAGGTGATTAAGGAACGAAAGAGGTAGTGTTTAAAAAATCACGCTGGTGACAAGCGCTGGAATGTTGTATAGGCTCTTGGTTGTTCCAGCGCTTGTCACCCGCTTGCCCGGGTGACAAGTGCTGGAATGTTGTATAGGCTCTTGGAACCAGTCACGCATATGTTACTCGAAACAAAAAAAATTTAATCGATTACAGTTACAATTACTCTTGGTTAAAAAAAGTATTCACTTAGAATGCTCGATTACCTGAGAAGCAAAGTAATTGGCCGTTACTTAAAAAAATCAGCGTTACTTCTCCGATTACCTCAGATTTTCAAAACGACAGATTTTTTTTTTGTATAGTTTGAATACGAGTCTTGAACTGTTCAGCCGGCGCTGCAAGATGGAAGTGGCCAATCAGACGGCGTCAAAAGCGCACAATCACAGTGTTTCTGTCCGTGTTCTATTATCGCTGAACCAACCATAACTAGAAAAGGCCCAGTGAGGCGATACATTGAACATTTTGAAATGTCATGCTCAGTGCCACAGCACGAACTGTATGCACAGCGCAAGTACATCTGCTTCTTGCACAGGCGTTGAGATCATGTCAAAACGCCGAGTTGTTATTGGCTGATAAAAACACAAAATAGTGAGTAGAGGGTAGACCTCGAGGCATCTAGCATTGAGGTCTACCCACTATCCTTACAATAAAAACCAATCAGAGCCCAGCGTCCTTCTGACGTCACCGCCACTCCTGCGCACGAAGCAGACGACTCGCTCTCCGCATAGAGAGACTCAATCCTCCGACGTAGCGACGCCTGGAAAGTAGCGCGTGTCTATACGTGACTTGCGTCGGCTTCACATCAGCAACCGTTGCCGTGGTCATGCTATGGAGCGTCTTTCTTCTGCAGCATATGTTCTGCGTCAGTGAATTCGTTGTTCTCGGAAAGAACTAGTTGGAACGACCATCAGCATAGTGCGTGGAGTCACGTGCAAATAGGAAGTAATTTAGTTTTCTAAAAAAGTAACTAGGGGGCGGCGGAGCTTCCCTTGTACGTCGTATCTTTTTAGACCATTAAGACTGGTTTCCACAATTGAGTTTGGACAGTTTTTACTGCGTCGCAGGCACCTGTGACCCCTTACGATGAGAGGAAACAATGGCGCCGTGTATGTGCTATCCGTGGAACCCTTTCGATCTGAGTATACTTTATGTATACATTTTTCATCGTGTGTTTCAGATAATTATAGCAATATTATAAGTAATAATTTGTCATACACAGTGCGCAGACGTAATATCCCGAACACTGAAACATTTTCAGTCTAGTTGTGCCCCGATCGGGAGTGTTCTAAAGCTGCCTTATAAATGGCGCGCCTGTGCTAGTGATTTCACTCGTCGTGAACGGTTCCAGACGACTACAACACATTCCATCAGGCCCGAACCCAAATGTGTGAACCGGCTTTACGTCTGGCAAGAAAAAATAGATATATGTGACGTTTTCGTTGAGGCAGAGTATGGTAGTCTGCCTTTTGAGGTGCGGCGACACTGATTTATGATGCAGATGAGGAAATTAGACAGTTATGTGCGACTGCTGGCTTGGGCACTTTAACTAATGCATCACGCAGTAGTGGTACACGAACGCACACCAGTATGATTCTCATCCAAATTGAAGTGACAAATTAACAAAATTAATCCTCTGCCAAAAAGAAAAGCTTGATGTCCACGTTGTCGCATGATTGCGGAAACACGAGGCCGACACCCTGTCGGCAGCCACGAACTCGCCTATCGTCTCCTGTGATTATCAGCTGTGCTTAACCAATCTAGGTTAATTACTTTGCCCAACTAGCGGCATCGTTGTGTCCCGTGCTCCACTTCGCCAACTCATTCTGAGTTGGTCTTCAGAATCATCTTGGCTGCTCGGGGACTCGACTATTGCCAACGCGATTCTTTAGTTACCCCTGGCAGATTCTTCGGCTCGTTGTCGTCGACCGTGACCGCTGGCACTGCGACGTCCTCATCTTGTCGGTGGTGGTGGTCGTCGTCGCGCTCTGATAACCCTGGAGGCCTCGAGTTTCGCCTCGACGCTGCAGTATGTGTTCCCCCCTCCAGCACGCTTCACAGATCCTCGCGAAACGATACAAAAAAAAAAAAAAGAGATACGGCCGGAGATTCCATATGCAGCTCCAAGACGTGTACACCTAAAAAAATTTCCCTGCTCCGTATTCTCTTACAAATAAAAAAGAAAAAAGAAAACAGAAAAAAAAATAAGTTGAACTGTAGAAAAAAAAAATGGAAACTAATCGGACGATAGGGAATTTGAAACTAAGGTACAAGAAAAAAAAAACGCAAAAGCATTAGGTTTTTTATATGAGTATCTCAGTTTTGTGTTTCAGGGCGCTCTAACAAGCGTACAAAGAGTAGCAAGAAAAAATTGTGAGATTAGTGTCTCCCAGCGCAACGTTTTCTGCAGAGCCGAAATGAGAGATATAGTAATCAAAAAACCAAAGTCGAAATGAAGTCAACACTTAATTTAAATCTACGTTATCAGTACCGACAACTGCCGGTTCGAGTGCATAATTATTGTGAAATCGCGTTAGAAACTGCAGTCGAAATTAATTGATTTAACCAGGTATTCTGAGTGTTCGTTGATGTGCACAGATAACATAAGGAATGAACGTCGTAATTGCATTTTGGTAGCGAAAAGATTAATTAGTTTTCCTGAATACCGGTCCCAATACACGACTGTCATGCACCGGGCAGAATAACCGACGGAGATTATGTTTTTGCTGTCGCGACCGCGCTTTACGCGAAATTTTGTCAATATGTGCTGATATATCAGTCATAATGACTGAGGAAATGTTCCCGACAAAGCGACGGTAACCCTTCAAAGCTACATGCCTTTAAATGGAGAACACACGCCTGGCGACCTCACATGCCGCGTTAAGTCGAGCGTAGACTATGTGCACCACGTACACTATGTACACTATGTTTGCAAATTGGGCTCAGAAGGCGTAAGAATAAGTAGCTATCATTTTTCTGTTTCCGTTCAGTGTGCAGATTGTCCCCGATTTTGAATTCACAGATATTGATCCACCATAAAATATTTTTCTACAAAAAGACCAGGGAAAGATTTTAATTCAATTCAATTCAGTTCAAATCAAAACTATATTTTCGATGTGCATTCTGTGGGCCTCTTAAGCAAAAAGCTGCTAGAAAGCAGCTTTACCATGTCTAGGAGTTTATTACGTGGAAAAACATTCAATACCAAAACGTCTTTGCACCACAGTAGTTTCAGACACTGACCTGCCAGTTAATGACGCATCCTTCGATCGAGTTGTCAGTCTCAAACAGACCATTGTCTCGCAGGACCGACTACAACCAGACCACCGACCACAATGGCCCCTACTACCACCACAACCGCGACGACCACGTCGTTCGAACCTCCGACTCCGGAGCCAACGAGTTCCAAAAGGCCACCGCTGATACCTACCAAGTTCCACCCGGACTTCGCTCCGGACAGGACCGACCAGAGGCCGACCTTCTTGACGACGACCCTGGCTCCTCCAAGGGCCGTTCCCACGGCCACGACCACGGTGCTGCCGACGATGCGGCCCCGGCCTCAGCCACCGCCACAGCCGCACCAACCCAGGAGGCCCGCCTTCCGGCCGGTCGACAATGACGTGGCCGGGTCGGCGGGACATCGAACCATCATGTCTCCCCCGGATCTCAGAGGGTTTTCGGATTCCTCGCCGGCTGGAGCTAAGCTCAACATGGGTAACGTTGAGCAGCTTTCCAACGATCACCGAGCATGAGTTTTTATGGCCCTCGTTGCCTTAGCCGCCATATGCCGTAAGATGTCGTTGAATTTTACTCTTCTTACAAAACTCCATCGAGCAATATTAGCGGTCGGCTTATTTGGATTACATGATTCCAGCACGAAGCGTGTGGCTGGATACGAATTCAGGTCTAATGCCGGTGGAGCGCTTGTGCCCAAAATATTTACAACCTTGTACAGTCAAACAACAGCTACAGGATGGCACGGGCCTTTGATAAGTATATAGGCACGAACCTTTTAAGGCAGAACTTCAGATTCGAGATGGTTTATGTAGTCCAATATGAGAAAGCATTAGAAACACTGGAGAACCTGCGTATATATAATCCCTCATACACCTCATTCTGTTCACTTAATTTAAAAGACTAAAAAAGGGTCCCAGTTTCGTCAGTGCCGGTATGGTTTAATGCTTTTTAATATATTTGTCGAATATTAACTCAAAGAGTCAACGGAGAGCAACAGGTGCCATAAATGCTAATCGACTTTTTGGTGTTAATAACGTTTTATTCTTCGTATTTTATATGATGATACTACGGGACAATATAAGCGTCGGTTATACATTCATCCTGCGAATCTGCTATAAAACTTGCTCAACAAGCCAATGCAGGAACATTCTATTTTCTATCCTGCACGCTCTCAGACTTTCTGCTACTTTGGTTTATGCTGGCGTTTGCTACTATTTTGACTCTATTATTAAGATGTTTATTTTGAATTGTCGCCAACACCTCTGTCTCATCTCTTGGCAGGAGGCTTCATTGCACTAGGAGTCTTTGGCGGCTTCGTCGTGCTAGCAGCCGTCATCACGATAGTGGTCATCGTAATTCGCAGGTCAGTATGTTTGATTAATAAACCACCTTGATAACCACACCAACATGATCACCATCACACGCACAATCAGATTCTGTTTTTCATAACTTTATCAGTGCACTGCACCAGCCCTAGGCACTGCACTGACCTAAAGCTACTTTTAAACTGACCTCGTGCTCCTTGTTTCTACAGCTGGTGACAGGTTTTTACCCTTTATGACCCACTTATTTTCTTGACACTCAAACTCACTTCATTTCTCACTGGCTTGATAACCACTCTTGCTGCACTTGAAGGTCTTACAAACCCATGAAATTATTGAGATAATAATTAGCTGATAATATAGCAGTCCGGCTTGTATGCTTTACCAACCGAGCGCTTCTGGCGGTTCGCTTGAAACCCAAACACAAAGGTCGTTTTAACGATGCTTCTATGCTCATCCTAAAACGTTCAGCGCAACGTTGTGGGAAGCACGGATACACAAGCACCTGGCTTCAGGAAATAATTTTGCGGTGTTGTGCTGCCATGCTTGTGTACCTCATAGCGCTGACCACATCTGCTAGGTAAAGTGTGCTTGGGGTTCGCATCAACTCCAAGTCTTTAGAATTTCGGAAATAGGTGCACTCGGGCAATGAGTTAATATACACCCATCTAATATGACCTATTCTCGTTCCAGGGCTCTATCTTAACTCATAGAGGTTGCACAAGTTGAACCACTGTTTTATATCAGAGACATGAATGAGTCACTGAATATAGAGTTCATGCTTAACATTCTGAGGACAGCACAGCTTAGAAAATCAGCTAAGATGTAGGACGAGACATTTCAAGGCTGGAGGAGTTAACTCATTGCCAGACTGTAGATATCCGCACACTGCTAGCAATTGAAATCGGACTTCACGTCACATTATTGTTCGCCGCTGGTATAGATGTCGCCGCAAGATGAAAACTGTCAAACTTGGACCGATCGGTCCAGCCAGTCCCTCGGTTCGATCTCCACAGCTGCGAAGGTGACGAACCACGCACGACCCTCCCGCAGCCAGCCGGTCGAACTTTCAGTAAGTCAAAGAAAGGCGGCGATGTCAAGGAGCGCTCAAGAATTATTTCCGAACGCGACAAGAACACCTACCAGGAGTGATCCGCCTCGCTTGTCTTATGGCGAATTCCGCTGGTCGTTTTGGAGAGCGCCGGGAACAGTAGACCAGATACGAAATGGAGCACGCGATCCAAACGGAATTGCTCCGCGTCCGGATCCTCAGTGAAATATGACTACTCCTCCGGAATCTGCGGATGCCTTCCCGCCATTCCCCTTCCCGGAAAGCCCCGCCCCGCGGTCGAAGATGTCGAAGCACATGTTTTCGCAAACGCGGCGCTAAATTCACGTGTTCAACGCACGGGAGAAGTTAGTCATGATGTGAAAGATGCGCGTCGATAACCGATGCGCATCAGCGTAGCCCACCTGCCTCTTTATAAAAATACTCCTAAATGTTGTCCAAGTACGTCTCGATTTTCGGCCTCTTCGGCGGAGGTCCAAAAATGCAGTCGAATTTATGCGGGACATACAAGCTATGGTATTCTCGTCGTCGCTGCTGCTAGAGGAGCTGCTCGAGCAACTTGTCGACAAACTGCAATCAAGCAGCTGCAGCAGTAAACCGGGAGGCACTCCGCGAGCGGCCATTAAAAACTTTTCCGAGGCGAGACGCCCGGTGAGAGAGGAAGTCCCTTGTGCGTGCCGATGGCTGGCCAGGCTGGCTTCCGATCGTGTCCGCCTAAATCGACGGAGCCACTTTACTCGGATATGAATCGAGATGTGGAGTGGGAGCTGATCCGAAACGAGAAGTGGAGCACGTCCGTCACGATCACGATCGCCCAGTGAAACAGGCATGCTTCAGAAAAGTGAATCCCGGCACGCTCCAAAACGACCAGTGTAAGTCACCATCAGTGGTCTAATATGCAGGTTGAGGCGTGTCAAAGGAGGGCGCCAGCGCGGTCCTTCTTTCAAGGTGTTCTTTATTTCGTTTTACCAGAACGGTTCGCTTCCTCCAAACGGCAACAATACGGGCATTATTATAATACATATTTAACACAATGGTATTGCCTCCTTCTCTTGTGACCATATAATGAGCGCAGTTTCCTAACTGACGAGTCTATGGCTACGTTTACATGGATGCGACAGTAGTGCGTCGGATCCAGTTAGCGAATCGAATCCACTTCAACCACTTCGTTTACATGGATTCGGATCGACCAGTAGCGGCACCTCGTGTCGAAGGATTGCAACGCAAACCTCGTGACCTTCAGATTGTTTCCGAGGTGTCTGGTTTGCCTAGCGGCATGCAAAGCTAAGCTCCCATAATCCCTCGCTCGAGCACTCGATTCGATTCGCTAGCGTATATATGGAGAGTCTCGATTCGAATTGACCATTTCAAACCACCCCGTCCCAGCGGATCGGATGGGATCCGATCCGATCCGATCCGATCCGAGTTGCTTATATGGACCGATTCGATTCGTTAACTGGATCCGATGCGCTGCAGTCGCATCCATGTATACGTAGCCTGTGATGCAGATGCATCTACTTCAGTGATTTACATAAAGTATCGTCGTCAAATTTTAAAATTTGGAAGCCGTTCGTGCAAATTATGAGCTCGAAGCTAGATGAAAGTTGGTATGAAGTTCATTCGTAATCTGTCTCCAGTACTTTTGTGTGAGTTTCGCTTTTTGAACCTGCGAGCATATGACCAAAATAGACTGCTTGCGCTTTTGCTTGTATGAAGCTCAGGTTGTCCGTTTCGTAAAGACAGGTTCAGCTTCTTTCCAGATATTATTCTGTACACCCTCGGACAATATCAGCTGAAATAACCGATGCGTCCCTTTTTTTCTTTTTTTTTTTTTTTTTTTGCGTCGCCTGTCCCCACATGCTTGATAATCTCTTAATGTGTCAAATAGTCAGATGTATGGGGCCTCAACTTTGCATTCAACAAGCTTGATGTATTGAATGTCTTTATTTTGATTGCACGTGCAGACGAGGCAATTATCTGAATCTTGCCCTTTCCCTGAATTGCTCAAGGAGGCAGTACTGTGTCGAAAGTCATTACTCACATGCAGCGTTTAGGCAAGGTCTAGGGCACATCACCATCCTCACGTTAATTTCCGAACTTGCTTCGTGTATTTCTCACGCTCCGATGTGCCCCTGGGCCCTGGGACGTCCGACCTTGCTTCGTTTATTTCATCTTACGTTCTTTTGCGCCCCTGGGCCATATGGATTTATCCAAACTATGTGGAGGTATCTCCTACGAATACTTACCGTTTAATTCGAACTGAAATCTCCTCCCACATTTTCTCCACGATTATGCGAGATGTCATGAGATGAAAGGATATCTATGACAACAGACTGCCCACACGCCCCTGAGAGCAAGATTCGTGATGTATACACGTTTTACTCATTTACCTCTAAACCACAGTTCGGTAACGATTGGCGCGTCAGAGTTAGGGTTGAATTGGCGTTCAATAGGAGCTCCCCTGACCGAGTACGAGCCCTGGACAAGTGCTGACGCAATACTCTTGCCCAACATAAGCCCCGCTCTTGATCCAATCAAATTACGTAGGCAATCTAGTTCACGAGACGTACGATCCGTACTACACTCAGCGAAAGCTGGAGCGCCTTGTTTCCTTCTGGAAGCACCTGAGCGAGTCAGCCGCTGGAATCTACAGAGGGAACTCGGCGAACGACGAGACTGAAAATATGCTGGAAAATAGACGCCCCAAATTTCTTAGAATTTACTCGCCGACAGTCAAAGAAACGCTGGGAGCTGGCAAGTTCAGAGCACCCTATCATCATTTTGCATCCAAAATGACATTGCCGCCTTAGGCGACAAGAACGCCGATGAAAAAATAATCATGATCATAGATTATGAACACAGGTCATGTGATTCTTAAGTCCCCCGTAATTTTAGGTGTTGTTGGGAATAGTCGGATAGTTTCTACTACGGAGACGCGAGTTCTCCCATTCGCCTTTTTTTTTTTTTCTCAATGAGTACCTTCGAGTTTCAAGCAAGCGACGTTCTCAGTTCCGTCTTCTAAGACCTTGTCTGACTCGGGCTGTCAATTTTATGAAGCCCCATTCATCCCGGCAGATGCCGTCTCGACATTTCCGCTATATACGCTAGACGGCAAACACGCGAGCTCATTCTGAACCCGTGACCGTGAAAGGGCGTCTCGTGTCTTGTTGTCTCCATACGATATACGCCGCCTCGTACGTTCCCTGAACTGAATCCTCTGAGAACCACGGTCCGCTGGTCTCTCAAGAAGCAACTCACGTCTCTAGGTCGTCGGCTGCACGTTCCACCATGCACGTCGCACGTTTTAACCGCATGTCTTCTCCACCCCTCTGCATTTTTTTTCTTGGACAGTACGCTTGTTGATTATGTGTCATACAAAGCTCGAGCGCCTAGCTTCTTCCGTGTAACGTTTTCACAAGTGCGATATCAACGGCAGTAAAAACTACGTGTGAGCGTGGCCCGCGTTTGTGGTCTCTCACAAAGCGCACTAATGGAAAAACAAAAAAACCCAATAAGAATCATTTATTTACTTATTTATTGTTGAGTTGAAGATGTTTCCCGACAGCTATACGCCTTATTGGTAGTACACCATAAAACATTCAAAACGAAACATGCGATGGAAACACAGAACTAATGAAAGTGCGAAGGCAACATTGAAATGCCGATGTTCTCTGTCATTTCCGCTACAACTATATTTTTTTTAATCGCTAAAACTTATAAAGGCATTTTTTGCAGGTGACGTAAGATTGTTGTCCAAGTCCACCATTCTTGTGAGTGAGAGGTTCAAATGTAAAAGAACATACAAAAACGTTCATTATATCTCACCGAGCAAGATGTTACACGAATGTATGTTAGCAGCCCTGGGCAAGTTGCTCCGCCGTTTAATAATTGGTGCAAAAATAGCATGACACTATAATATCTTTTTTTCCCTTCACCTTGCAATTTACAAAGTTTCCTGTAATAATCAAAATAATATTTCTTGCTGAGGTATTGGTCTTAAACCAAACGAATAACACGTCTCTGCATTCCTTCAATTCCACTAGACACATAAACAAAGTCAGTGAATGCCAAGAATTTGGTGCAAATTCTACGAACGCCGCTCGACATAGGATGGCAAATTATATGTATAATATTAATACTGCACTACTCTAGTCTCTGCCAGGTTAATAAACGCGGGATGTGGACTATTGCGCTCACACTTTTTGCTTCCTATATCGTTTTTTCTGTGTTTTTTTCTTTATATGGACTAATGTCGCAGTTTTATTGACTGCGAAGCGATTATAAGATGCTCGGAACTTGCCGTCCCCTGCGTTAATTATGCTCTCAGTGAATGCAATGGTTTAATATAGGAAAGAAGATTATGTCCCGCCTCGTATCGTTGTGCAAGCTCTCGTGTAAGGCCACGTTTTTTTATGCTCGAAGCAAAACTCGAAAGTCATCTCGGAATGCAATGAAGGAAGGCGCATCAGGACACACATTATGGACGATGGAGTGATTACAAAACGAGGTAGACAATAAAAACCAGTAGATGTGTGTGAGTTCACTCTCCCGCAGAAGGCGCACGCTGTCACTCATCCACGGCGAACAGTAGACGGATCCCAACGAATGACGAAGGTTCAATATGTAATTAGTCCGAAAAATATTCGATTTACGTAGGGACAATCAACGAGGGAAACGTCATGCTCCTTCGAATAATCGAATAATGTTTATCAAATTTTGCAATAATTTGACGGGTCAACGCAATAAATTCCCCCAAAACCGATCTCTTGATTGTGTTTTTACGAAAATATTGTTTATTTAAAATATGCTAAAAACCTAAAATCTAAAAAAAAAAAAAAAAAAAAAAAAAAAAAAAAACGCGGATAGGGCTTGTGAGAGAATTCAATTCAACGCGTCGGTAGTGTGGTAGTGTTCACTAATTTTCTGTCTCTTCAACTGAGTTCTTTGTTTTGATTACTTGCTAAACTGCTCTCCACGTTCTAGCTTGTCTTCTTTTCGGGTCGAAATTCAGGATCCCTGTTCAACCTCTACTAACTAACTGACTCAGATTCGAGCAAACTGAAAAGTAACCAAAACTCAAAATTATTACTTGGCGTATAAGGATTAACCCGTTCACTCTTCTTTAATCGAAAAAAAAAAACGGATCCAAATTATAAATTTGTTTGTCTTACTTGCAATTACCATTGGAATGAATATTTACGCAAAAAAGAGAATATTCAAATCGAAGTTTTGAAGTTGCTGTTCATGTTTGCAGGTCTTAAAACAACACCCTGTCGTAGCCTGACCTTTGGTTATTATCCCTTACCTTTTATACTAACAGGTCTCGGTAGAGGGCGCTAGCGGCTTCGGAAAAACCAAAACAACAACAAAAACAAATTCTACACACACGAATGCACACAAAAACGCCCCTCTGCAAAGACCAAACAAAAGCAAACATCGACGAAACAAACGACGACAGAGCTCGGGGCGGCGGCGTCAGCTCCAGCGACCGACACCGGGGCGTCAAGATGGCGGTCGGGGGCGGCGGCTCCAGTGGATCCTCCTCCCTCGAGAACTCCCCGGTGGGCGCCTATGCCGAGCACGGACTCCACAAGCACTACAAGCGGGCCTGGGAGAACCTACGCTACGACGCCGGAAAACAGCAGCCCGGTTCGAGGATAGAAACCCTTGACAACCCCCACGTGATGCGCACCCTGGAGGGCTACCGAGAAGCCAACGAGATCACTGTCAACGACGTGGCCGCACTCTACGGCAGACCGCGGAGGTGACTCCAACTGAACACGTGACTAGCGGAGGCAGGGCGTCCATCTTGTGGCGATTCGCTTCGGTCGCTTCCATTTTTTTTTATTTATTTGGGGAGGGTTAATGTGGGGTAAGCGTTTGATTGTCGAAATTGACAACCTCTTTTTTTCCCCTTTCGACCTGCCGTTGAAATAAGTGCGTTAATTCGTTACGCACAAACAACGCAAACCTAGGAAACTCACTTATTTTTAGGTACGTGTAGCGCCTGAAATGTTTCGCAAATTGAACTTATTGCTCTTGAGCACGACGAAATCTTTTGACATACTCTTTGGAAGAGGAAGTACATTATGTTAATATATAAAAAAAAAATTGCCACACTGCAAGAAAAGAAAAACTGTGAAGCTTAATGACCCGTTGAAAGGAAAGTTTGGAGGAATCGCAGTTTAACTTGGGGAAGAAGGGTTGTCAATTTCGGCAAGAGAAGCACGTTCACGAAGTCGCCTCAAGTGCTGAATTCCGGCCACACAAGGAAGGAGTGGAGAAGCGGCGATGGACACTGCTTCTGATGTACATATGCAAAGACTGCTCAAACCGTGGTTCTTCGCGAGTTTTCTGTGACCTCTGCAGTGACCTTCGAATGAACTCGAAACCGTCGCGGAGGAAGGCTGTGCCTCCGGAGCGATATCGTCATCGCGACGAGTTTGACATTGTCTTATTTTATCGTGTTTTGTTTTATATTAGTGTTTCTTCTTTATTTTAAATTAACACCGAACGTTTCATCTTCTTTATACGTGAAATTCCTTATTCGATTGCTTTTACTTTACAATAGAGTCGCGGAGTTGCTTATGTTGACCACAAACGTTGTATATTTTCTATTGAATGTCTGTGTTTCATGAAGTGAACTAATAAAATAAAATAAAATTGTTCCGGCACTCAAACAAGTGCAAATAAAAACAACAAAATGTTTATTATTGACGGCGACCCAGCAGTGTTTTTGGTATTTATTACTTGGTCTGCCCTCGATAAATTAAATAGGAGCTATAGACCTTTTCATTTCAGTAGTTGCTTGACCGGCGGGTAGAGGGCGCTGGCACACTCGCCGCCATTAGGTTGCTTCAATTTGGTCGGTTTCGGCTTCAACGTGCACGCGGTTGTGATGCTGTTTCATGTAGTTTCGATTATTTTGCGATATAAATTTTTTTCTTGTAGCACACGGCGAATGAAACAATGGTACTGAGCCACTTGGCAAACCACGAGGTGGTTTCGAGCCTAAATTGCGATCTTTTTTTACGAACACTATATGCGTCTGATTCCGTCCATCGTTAATTTCGGCCAGGTTCGGCGGTGAAACAACTGCGCTGATGCACAGGGAAAAGTACCATTGTCCACGGCCGTACCCGCGGACACTAATTTCCAGAAGAAAAAAAATAAGTAAAGAGTAGGACAAGCTCCGCCTGCAGCGTGCGCTCGTTGCCTTCCGCCGTGCTTTGGCTGTGCGTGCACCGAGTGGTACGGAAGGTAGATAGCTCGCGCTCAAGTCAGAGCTGCTACTGCTAACCCTATATTCCAACGGATTATATGGCATGAGTGCTTAGTGAAAAAGCAGGTCGACAACATGATTAACAATCTGCTGAATCACCAAGAACAGATGAACTGACAAGTTTACTGTTCGATATTTGGTTTCCGTACACCAACCTTTTCTAACTGCGAGACTAGAAACGTTCTTTGTAATGACTACAAAAGTTTTATATAATCACGTAGATAATATAAAAAGTGATATTGTCTCGACCGGTTTTATTTAAGGAAATTAAGCGCTCGAGAAAAATTTTGATACACCAGCGTAGGCTGACTAGAAAATTTATTTAACTAAAGTACTCATTAACAGCATTTCAAAATATTGGCCTTATAAAATAAACTTTTTGTTATATGGATATTTGCTTACGACGTTCTCAAGGTATGAGAATGGTGAGGTAAGTGAATGCCAGACTTCAAATAAAGTCTAATATTCATCTTCCGTAATATTTGCCGATTGAAATTGAAGAGCGCAAAAGAAATGATCTCCGATAAGTTTGGCTGAAGTCGAACGCCAGGCTCCACCCAATGAAAGAAAGCTGTTCGCTGATTGGAAACGATGCGCTTTGCACATTTTGACGTCGCCAGCTACTGAAAGTAACTCCCTATTCGCCGTCGACAACCGGCTGCACTCGTGTGATTTTCATGCTGAAGGATTCCTTTCGGTGTCACATTTTGTGAATCATAGGCACTATCAAGCTGTCTGTGACAGTTTCTTACGCAGGAAGTCCAAATATTTGTGTTGAAATAAAATAATTGAATCTGCATGGTTATATTAAAAAAAAATGACTTAAACAATTTAAAGACTATGGACATGGAACCAAGCACGATATACAATTCCATGGAATTCATAAATAAACCGATAAAGCGAATGCTTATATCGCACACGTGATTAAGAACGTAAAACACATATAGGTGTGATATTGCGAAGAAACAAGTTGCCTAATGTTAAGGTACCGTTATTTCTAGCATAAAAAGTAATTCAAACTAAACGTTTATTCCCGCGTCTTGTCCACAAGTTCTCTAGTGTAATCAAAAGAAACTGTTTTCGAATTGTTGTAACTACAAAACACCATGCTTTCGAGAAAAACACGTGGCTAATTACGCCGGGTGTTTTTGTTTCCTTCGTTGACACCAGTGCGCACTCATATATGTAATAACATTGGGCTTCCTATTGCAAATGTTCCGCCCTTATTAGTAACCAAACCTCAATTCTCATAAGATATTGGTATTTGAACCCTCGAGGCTCTCTTCAAGTCATATATGTATTCAATGTGCGCAAGTGCTAACGCTGATTCCTGTATCCCGCACGCCGACGGTAAAAAAATATTCAAAACGTGTTACAAAATCAACTACAGAAGATGCGCGCATAATGATGTAATGGAATTGCATGGAAAGTATAAGTATCTGACGACACTTTACAGAGTAAGGCAAGAGACGCGGCGAAACGCGACGAAAAACACGAATTCAACGCATCCGCCAAGGCGCGGACGGGAGAGCGGAGCAACCAAGTTGAAGCAACCTAATGGCGGCCGCATCACGTGATTCCAAGATGGCAGCGCCCATGCGGCGGAGGGTGAAAAGGTCTATACATCATGATTGAAAAGGTTTACTCGGACTTAACATAACAAATTAATAACAAAAGGTACAGACGTTTCGCCACCTATGCAGGTGGCATCTTCAGTATACACTGACACAAATGAGGTGAGGTCGACCAGTCTACTTATCACACACGTCCCCGTAAACGTCCGGCAGGGGGCCACGGTTGGTGCTGCACACCGATGAGTCACGGCGAATGAACCAGGACTCGACGAATTTTCTTTGCCCCCACCTTTGTTCTCGGGCCAGCGTCGTTGCATTGTCCAGGTCGAAACTGTGTCCTGTCGTCCAGCAGTGTTCGACAAGTTCCGTCTTGGACCGCGTGGCATGGGTGGCCTTGGCAACGTCCCTTTTTGTGTTCTTTCAATCTCGTTTCCCTCTTTCTGCCCGTTTCGCCGATGTAGGTCGCGTTACAATCCCCGCACTGCACTTTGTATACCCTCTGACCGTCTGCAGAGGTCCGGTCCTTCGGTTTCGGGAACACATTCGCTAAGGTATAATGTGGTTTAAAAACAGTTTGTACGCCCAGCGGGCGCAAAGCTCTCCGAACAGCATCTGACAAGCCCTGGACATAGGGAATAGATACAATAGACTTTGCCCGCACTCGTGACTCACTCCCCCTTCCCCTCTGCATTCGCCTCTGCGTATCGTTAATAAACGTCCTCGGATAATGGCGCCGCTCTAACGCACCAACCACATTTTCTACCTCTTGCAACCGTAGCTGCTTGTTAGAGCACACTGCATCACAACGTGATAAAAAGGTTCTTACAACGGACCGTTTGTGTTCGGTCGGGTGATGCGAGTCAAAGGACAAAAAATTTCCGGTGTCACACTGCTTACGGTACACCGTCGTTTCCACACTGCCATTACTGGCCCGGCGTACCAACACATCCAAAAAAGGCAACACATTATCTGTCTGTTTCGTACGTGAACTGAATGGCGTGGTGTACACTGTTCAGCGCCACATGGAAAGCATCTAGTTTCATACTTTTCAAAATTACAAAAGTGTCATCTACGTGCCTACAGTACATTTTCACCGGAAAGGGTACTCAGTTTAGCACCCATGTTTCGACGTGCTCCATCATTAAGTTTGCTGCGGTAACAGAAATAGGACTTCCCATAGGCGTGTTGGCGAAACTGAAGTACGTTTGATTCAGGCAAAACCGCAACAAAATTATAATATCCTCCACAAGTAAGGACGTACGACTCTCCAAATTACAATCTTCTTTCAAACGCGCCTCTACATAATCGATAGCCAGGCCAATGGGGACATTTGTAAACAATGTCTGCATAGACATTGCATAGAACTGCATAGGTGGCGAAACGTCTGTACCTTTTGTTATTAATTTGTTATGTTAAGTCGGAGTAAACATTTTCAATCATGAATTCACCCTGCTTTTGGAACATTTTTGCAGCCATACATCATTTCACTATATGATGGACTGCACCGGACGCTGAGCCATCCTGTACGATCCATCGTCCCGTGAGTTTCACTGAACTCCCGGGAGGGGTCGCAGCAACGCGCGGCGCGCGCGTAATCACGTGATACCTTTGCAGCGCTGGATTGGCGGACACGGCTCGTGGCGGTTACTGCAGTCCATCGTAGGGTGAAACGGAGTATACTAGCATACTGCGAAATCGCTTTGTGTTAGTTTTTCCTCGATGCACCTAAAAAAGGCCAGTTTACGCGTGCAGAGTAGGGCAGTGATAACGCTTCAGTGCTCTGATGGGGGCTGACCTGATGGAGCGAAGCATGCAGCGCTAAAAGTGCTTCGTCATGGTGCTCGCGTCTTTCACGTGCTATCGCAGGTTAAATCAATAACGCCCCCTGAATACGGCACGGTCCAGTGCTTTATTTCTGTGCGTGATTGCTTCAGCCCGTGATAGCCAGCACACAAGGATGACGAGTTCCGTGACGGTGCACTTTTGTAACCGGTTGATTGACTCTATCTGACCATAGCGCTGGCTGCCGTCGGATTTGATCTGAAGTGGATGATAGTGACGGCACTGACTCCGCGCTGACTTAAGGCCCGTTCACACTCTCGCGACCGCTTAGAAGTGGGTTCCTCAAAACCCCTTATGACTAGAGGACATACTGGCGCCATATATTGGGTAGCAGTGTACACTTGGCGGTCCGGCATATTTTCTATTTTTCTCGCGCATTATCCTTTCTTTCTTGGCTCGGAAAAAACTTTAGTCAACGTCATAAACGAGCATTTCTAATAGACCTTTTCTGTGTACTGTCGTCCCCAGCCACCTAATAGGCGTATCAGGCATGGACGACGAAAAAAATACTAAAATGTTTCAACCTGCAAATAGTGAAAAAATTAAGGGGAGGCAAAAAGGAAGTGTGACGGTTACGCTTATATTCTAAATGCCTTCTATTGGCGTGGCAAAGGCAAAACAGTTTTCCCCCATACTGGAAGTGACGTCAATTCAAGATGGCAGAAAAGGTCCATAGGTATTTCGCACATTTGACCTCGGAAATCCCGCAAAACCTTCGCTCTTCTGAAATGCAGTTGCAGGATCACCGCTTAGATGGCGCCAGGGTGCCAGTGTGTTCTGTCGTCGTAAGGAAGTTGAAGAGGTTTTACTCTTGGTCGTACTCGGTTGCAAGAGTGTAAACAGGCCTTTAGTGTCAACGTTACTAAAACGCTCAGTTGGGAAACGCGCCCTTGAAACCCGAACCGGTCACGTTCACCGAGACCAAGCTAAATATGATAACAGTGCTACCCGTTAGCGACTAGGCAAAACAGAAAAATTAATTCATATTGCTACTTCAAAAT